GAAGCTGTTTTCGAGTTGAAAAGGTAATTAATTAATGAAAAGTGTGTAACTTCCATTCTAGTATTTACTTATGATAAAATGCATAATTCTTTGATTATGTCATGGGGTGTGCGATAGACTTACCTCCACGTGGTGCACTCTGGGCTACGTATACTCATACGACAAAAAAGTCTATCAAACCGGCAGTTGACTTCTGACTTCAAACTACTCCCACTGTATGCCATATTCAACCAATTCACAGTACTCATCCTACCTTTTCTCTGCTTTTTTGTCTGTCTGTCTGTCTCTGTTACATCTGTGAATCATTTTCTGTCCCCCCTCTCGACTTTTTGTCACTTTGATGTTGCACCTTCTCTCCGTGAAGCCTGAAGTCAGCTAACTGACTAAAGATAACTATCAAAATGCCTGCCATTTGAAATAAATAAATTGATAATGTCATTTTATTCGGTTTGGAGAATTTCATATTTCTATAAACTATGAGCTGCTTCGAATTCATCTTGTCTATGTTTCGATCAATTTCACTAGTTGAAATAAAAGTATATTCACTTAAAAACGCTTATAGCGTTAAAAATGGCCATAACATGGGTTGTTTTCTAATTCCATTTTGAAAGTGGTTGAAGGGTCAATTTAAAATTGAATCCAAAACTTATTTTATAAAATTAAAGTGCAAATAAGAATATTCGATTAGTTAAAATAGTAATTTCTTTGATTCGATTTTTTTACAGTGCATAGCTAGTACACAAGTTTCATTTAGCTCAAGAAAAGGGAACGAGACAAGTTATTAACAATCCCTACTAGGAAACATTCCAATTTTCTATTATATCGTTGTAAAAATTAGATTATTACCTAAGCTGTCAAGTCAAGCAATATAGGCAAATAATATTACAATATTTGCATTCTATTCAAATGTCGTCGGATTTAGTCTTCTACTGTCATTAACTTTAATGATCTCTTGAAAACTAAATTTATAGTGGATATTGAAGACATTCAAATAAAAACGCATGCCCTGAAAAATGAGTTTTCTGATTATACCATGTAAATTGAAAATTTTAAGAATTGCTAAGAGATGGAAAAGATAAAAATTGCTTATTTTAAGTTGGCAACTTATAGAAATTATGAAAGAACGAATTGTTAGTCTTTTTAGGTCTTATAAGAGGAATTTTGAACTCGCTTAATCAAATAGTTAAATATTGTATAGAAATCACATTGTTCATTAAAATGTACCTAGTACTATTAGTATCATTATCCACGGTTAAGTGGTTTAAGAAATATTCAAGAAATTTTGGGATATGTTTAGAATCAAAGCCTTATTAAATTTGAACCCTGAAATTGTTAGTCCTTACTTATTTTATTTATTGGTCTTATTCCTTTTATAGAATGTTTATTATTAACCATCGCAGTGTAGATTATAAAAGGTTATTAAGAAACGTCTTAGGCAATGATTACGGGTCATTAAAACAATTAAAAGTGGTTGCCAAATGCTTGGAGTAAAATTCTGAAGGTCTCACAGCCTATGAAGAAACAAAGGATTAATTTATGCTCAAATCAATGCAAATTTGACAACACGATAGTCAAATATTTGTTAAATTTCCAATTACTATAATTGTGAAAAAGGGGTGTGCGACAGACTTACCTCCACGTGGTGCACCCTGGGCAACGTATATTCATACGGCTTACCTCCGTGGTGCACCCTGGGCAATGTATATTTAGACTTACCTCCACGTGGTGCACCCTGGGCACCGTATACTCATACGGCAAAAAAGTCTATTAACCGGCAGTTGTTGCGATAGACTTACCTCCACGCGGTGCACCCTGGGCAACCCACTCATACGGCAAAAAAGTCTATTAACCGGCAGTTGACTTATCACTTCTCATACGGCAAAAAAGTCTATTAATCGGCAGTTGACATCTTGACTTCTGACTTCAAACTACCATGACCCCACTGTATGTTACAAAGTATACTCATACGGCAAAAAGTCTATAAACCGGCAGTGGACTTCTGACTTCAAACTACCCTCACCCCACTATATGTCACAACTTCTCACTTCAAACTACCATCACCCCACTGTATGTCATTGTGTATGCGCATACGGCAAAAAAGTCTATAAACCGGCAGTTGATCTAACCCTAACACGGCAAAAAGTCTATAAACCGGCAGTTGACCTCTGACTTCAAACTACCATGACCCCACTGTATGTCATATTTGGGCAACAGACCTCATACGGCAAAAAGTCTATAAACCGCTGGGCAACGTATACTCATACGGCAAAAAAGTCTATTAAAGGCAGTTGACTTCTAACTTCAAACTACCATGACCCCATTGTGGCAGTTGACTTCTCACTTCAAACTACCATCACCCCATTGACGGGCAACGTATACTCATACGGCAAACAAGTCTATAAACCAATGGGCAACGTATACTCAAACGGCATACCTCCACGTGGTGCACCCTGGGCAACGTGTACTTACAACCTCCATGTGGTGCACCCTGGGCAACGTATACTTATGCGGAAAAAAGTCTATTGACTGGTAGTTGACTTCTCACTTCAAACTACCATCACCCCACTGTATAGTTGACCACTGACTTCAAACTACCATGACCCCACTGTATGCCTTGACTTCTGACTTCAAACTACCATGACCCCACTGTATGTTACAAAGTATACTCATACGGCAAAAAGTCTATAAACCGGCAGTGGACTTCTGACTTCAAACTACCCTCACCCCACTATATGTCACAACTTCTCACTTCAAACTACCATCACCCCACTGTATGTCATTGTGTATGCGCATACGGCAAAAAAGTCTATAAACCGGCAGTTGATCTAACCCTAACACGGCAAAAAGTCTATAAACCGGCAGTTGACCTCTGACTTCAAACTACCATGACCCCACTGTATGTCATATTTGGGCAACAGACCTCATACGGCAAAAAGTCTATAAACCGCTGGGCAACGTATACTCATACGGCAAAAAAGTCTATTAACTAGTGAGATGGGTGTGCGATAGACTTACCTCCACGTGGTGCACTATGGGCAACGTATACTCATACGGCAAAAAAGTCTATTAACCTGCAGTTGACTTCTGACTTCAAACTACCACGACCCCCAAACAGTTGACTTCTGACTTCAAACTATCATCACCCCACTGCACTGGTCCATATTCGACTACTTCCACAGTACTCACCTCATCTTTTTCACTCTACCTTTGTGTCTCCATATTCGACTACTTCCACAGTACTCACCTCACCTTTTTATATTCGACTACTTCCACAGTACTCACCTCACCTTTTTCCACATTCGACTACTTCCACAGTACTCACCTCACCTTTGTTCTACCTTTGTATTTGTCTCTTACATCTCTGAAACACTCTTCTGCCCCTCCCCCCTGTCGTCTTTTTCAATTTGATGTTTCTTTCCCTCTGTGAAGCTTGAATTCAACTAAAGGGCTAATGACAACCATCAAGATGCCTGCCATTTGATATAAATAAATAAATAATTGAGAAAAATAAAATTTTTCAAATAAAGATTTGGCTTTGGGGAGCTCAGTTCAAATTTAAAGTAGGTAATCGATTAATGTTAGGGTAAGGATTGAATGTCGAATCCCATTCGCTAGAACACCAATAAAAAATTAAAAATGTGAGGTAAGAGAACGACATTCGGTTGGGCGCTCCAATGGCACTATGCATTTTTAAACGCCAATGAGATGAGTAAGTACCGACGAGAACTTCATCAGCCAGCATTCAGTAAAGTGATAACAGTTCTTGCCTATTGGATGGTTTTTAAATGAGCAATGTAAGGAGAAGGTAATTAAAACACCAGTCACAAACATGCGACCGGAAATTTTAATGTAACGAAGATAAAGATTAACTCCAAACATTTAAGTTTGGTGAAAGTTATTCCATTCCTAAATAAGATTCGCTATTTATTTTCAGAAACACCAAAAAAGTTATTAATTTTAATGTGAATAAGCGGATCCTATTGATAAAATAATTTTGAATATTGCCATCTAAATAAATTCGAATTTTGAGCAGTTGATCACGATATTTATAAGACTGACTAATAACTCCCAAAATCAAAAGCTCTACCTAGTCTGATCTACTTTAAATAAAAATTTAATATTTCCAGTTTGAAAATATTGAAGAATAAAGTTAAATTACAACAAAAGTATAAATTATATACTAGTTATTCTATCTTTTACTGACTGTAAAGTGCGCAAACTAACCATGGTTATAAAGCGGGAAATTTCTTTAAATTATCCGGTTCATTGGCATTATTTGATGTAGAGATAAATCTATTTATGAACTGTAAGGTTTTGAAGTTCTAGCTTCGTTGTATAATTAAACTTTACCCACTACACGTGTCATCGACATTTTCATTGTTCTGTTGTTCATGAGTTTTTTTTGTTATTTATAATTGCTAATAAATTCATTTTCCGTCACACATAGATATTTGAGGACTCCTGAATATAACTCACCTATGTGAGAAGACAAATGTAAAAATCGAATAAGTGTAGATATAGCTCATTATTAGCCAATTCAAAATATTAATGAGTGCCATTCCTAGATACGTGAATTTCCAAGAAAATAGGTATTTTACTTTCATGGACAAATTTATTTGAGATATGATAAGAAATCGAAAAACACTGCTATATGGGTGGTCTTTCTGTGCAGTTCAAGAATTTTTTCCCGTATTTCAAAGTAAAGAATTTTAATAATCTCATAATTTTGCAAGAAATTTCTTTAAGCGTTCGATATGAGCTTTTACACGGAGATAGTGTAATTAATTACAAGCCTCCATAACAATGATAAATAAAATTATATTATAAAAAATCGATACTATATATACAGTTTTTTTCAGTATTGTTAGTAACACTGCATTTTTATTTAGCATCGTATTTTTTTCGCAGAAGGGAATCAAGCAATATGTACACAAAATGGGAAGTCAGTCGCTGGCAAAGCATAACTAAATATGAAAATCTGGGTGAAATAAAATCAGCACTCATGAAGATGCCAGGGTGTCTAGATTGAAATTGTTTTTGGTTGTGAGTTGCAATTTTGAGGGCTGTCTCTCGCCTCTTCTTCCGCAGAGTTCCAATCCTGGAAAATCGTCCCGACTTCTACCTCGTTTGAGGAAGGGAATATTTTCCTTTAAAATTTTCAGCCTTTTCGCACTCGGTGCGGCTTTAGATGCAACAATGGATTCAGATCTTCGAGTATCTCTGCTTAAGCGATTAGAGATTGCAGAATGAGCATTTTCGCTAATGGAACTATTATTGGGATGTTTTGAAGGCTTTCGACAACATAGGCGTCCTAGGATTCGAGCTACCTCTTCACGAAAGTTCTTGCCAGTACAGAAGTAGAGAACGAAACCCATAGCGAAGTGAGAAAGAGCGAATTTGTCACACACGATCTTGGCCTTTCGTATTTCCATTGCTGTGGCCACTGCAGGACTACTTTCAAACTAAAATATGATGGATATAATATTTTACCCAGAGGAGCTCTAAATTAAAATAAAATTCCGAAGAGAATTATTAAAATAAAAATTATTGTGGCTTGATTCTGTACAACTTATGAATCAAACCTTGGGGTGTGCGATAGACTTACCTCCACGTGGTGCACCCTGGGCAATGTATACTCATACGGCAAATAAGTCTATTAACCAGCAATTGACTTCTGACTTCAAACAACCATGACCCCATTGTATGTCATATTCGACTACTTCCACAGTACTCGCTATAAACTGGCAGTTGACTTCTGACTTCAAACTGCCATGATCCCACTGTATGTCATATTCGACTACTTCCACAGTACTCACATTATTAACTGGCAGTTAACTTCTCACTTCAAACTACCATCACCCTAAGCGGCAGTTGACTTCTCACTTCAAACTACCATCACCCGCACTGGCAGTTGACTTCTCACTTCAAACTACCATCACCCCTCACTGGCAGTTGCTTTCTGACTTCAAACTACCATCACCCCACCGTAAACCGGCAGTTGACTTCTGACTTCAAACTACTATGGTCCGACTATAGTTGACTTCTGACTTCAAACTATCATCACCCCACTGCACTGGTCCATATTCGACTACTTCCACAGTACTCACCTCATCTTTTTCACTCTACCTTTGTGTCTCCATATTCGACTACTTCCACAGTACTCACCTCACCTTTTTATATTCGACTACTTCACAGTACTCACCTCACCTTTTTCCCGACTACTTCCACAGTACTCACCTCACCTTTTTCCTACCTCTGTGTCTGTCCCTTTTACATCTTTGAATCACTCTTCTGTTCCCCCCTCCCCACCATCTCGACTTTTTTTCTCTTTGATGTTCCTTCCCCTCTGTCAAGCCTGAAGTCAACTAAAGGGCTAATGACAACTATCATAATGCCTGCCATTTGATATAAATAAATGAATCGAACCTATCATTTTTCTCATTTCTAGCAAATTTAACATCCGATTTGCTTTGAAATTTCGCATACTCATCTATTCGAACAAAACACCTACACTATTGGAATGGTCGTGTTGAAATCTAGTGGGAGTATAGTAATATTTATATTTTTGAACCTAGAATGTCCACAATCCGAGCCTTAGGCAATTCACTTTGATGCCATAATATTGTCCTTAGCACCTTTTTTCTTCCCCATCAATTTATGACAATTGCTTTTCACAAGGTAAAATCAAAATTTTCAAATTTAACAATTTCGTTATTAACGAAAATGTACAATGAACACTAATGTGAAAATTAATCAATGCGTATTCGAGTTTGCTAAGCACACTTTCGTCTTACGCTAGTAAAAAATTATACGTTGTTTGGTATGAAATAGGTTTTATAACATAACCATCTAATTTGCTTGTTCTAATTAATTTCTCGCATTTATTGCTATCTCCAAAATGGCAAGGGTAATAAATTGTGAAGGAGCTGGAAGCACGCTTCTGCCGCTAACCTTGAGAGGATAAATGGAAATAATATTGTTCTTTTAAAGTGATTGACGGTTTGTTTAAATGAGATCTTTCATATATTAAGTGCCTATTATCTCTCTGATAGATTCCGATGTTCATGAGAAAACTGAGAATATTATGGTTGTATGTACAATATTAGCACGACTTTGTAACCATGAATTTATGCAAAGAATTAATCATTTAAATAATTTTTATTTTGGTATTAAGTTTGCAATCGTATGGGAAAAACTTGTTAACGGCTTTAATAGTGCAAATTTTAATGAATGTATGTTAAAGAAAACGTGAAAGATGTTTTACTAACTCGGGCGATTTGGCCCGTTTAAAGATAAGTTATTTCGTTCATAGTTCATATTTGGTAAAGCAAAATGACTATATATAACCCCAAAAAGTCAAAAGGACTGCCAAAAGGCTGTGTTTGAAAAGGTTAATAGAAGAAATGGAATGGGTGTGTGTAGAAGACTTAGGGGAAGCAAATCCTGCCTACATCGCGTGACAGTTTGCATTTCGAACGAAAATATGCAGGGGTTTGTTATCTATTCTAATATTTGGAAAAGCGAAATAAGCTATTGATAAAGTGGAAGCTTATGGTGTTGAGAAAATCGTTTGAATTGTATGTATACTTGTCAAATGCACTGACTTTATGAAGCAAATATTATTCTAAAAAATTATTATAGTTATCAATTTTTTAATGAAATAAAACTATTTTTTGCATAGGTTAAATAATTTCGGCTATAATATGCATTATATAATGGCTAAGAAGGTGAAGGCTGCGTCAGATATCGGAAGTTTATTCAATGGTCGACTTCCAACCCCTTCATTGACAATCCGCATTTGATTAATATGCAGATATACTTCTAGAAGGCTGTCTCCTAGAGGACAAATGGGTCACAGAAAATGAACCGGATTAAAGGTACACAGTGTTTGTTCAAACTGTTACCAGATTTACTTAAGCCACTTGACCTAAAATGAAATTTTCAT